TCGTGTGTCTGAAAAAAGTCCACATTTAGTGCACTTTTAGATCAAAATGGCCATCAGTCGGCAATCTTTGATCAGATTTTGAAAACAATTCACATGCATATGGTTAAAGTTATATCTATATGTAAAATTTGAAAAGAATTGGTCCATGGATGTCCAAGATACAGGTTCGGATACACAAACAGACACACAAAGACACACTTTGTCCTGATGGGGCCTAATAATATGACCATGAGCCGCTTCTGCTCATAGCTATAACTCTTGGAAAAGGTGGAATATTAAATTTTGCAGATCAATTTGACGGAAGAAAGAAAGGTGTTTGAATTCTTACCTTGTTGAGCCTTATCTACATGGAAATTTGCATCCATTAATAATTTAGCAATAACTGATTCTATGTCTTCACCCACGTATCCTGCCTGGGTCAGGGTTGTGCAATCACATATAGCAAATGGTACATCCAAACATTTAGCCAATGTCTGAGCTAATAAGGTTTTACCTATGAATGGCAGGATGAAACTGGATTAAACATCGCAGCATAAATAAACATTTCCAGCCAAGAGAAAATACTTATTTTAAAGACACATCATTACTGTACTTGCCTGACTTCGTGCCCAGGGTAGTCAGCTCAAAAAATCATGTGGGTTGGCACTTAGTAAAGCACCTCCGCTTAAAAAATTAGCGAGTTCACTATATATAGCCACCTGGGTATGACATTTACTGATACGTCAAACATTTACAGTATAAAACAGACGGGTGAAGTACTCACCGGAACCAGTTGGGCCAAGAAGTAAGATGTTGCTTTTCTCAACTCTCAACTCGTGTGTATTACTGTTTAACAGATCACTTCCTGCAACCCTTCTATCAGCTGCATCACCACTCTGATTCCCTGATTGCGGCATTGACGATGCCCCTAATGCGCTACCATGGTTACCAATGCCTGATATTTGTAAAAGTTCTGTAAGAAGGCCACAAAATATAATCATATTTTTTTTTGGCAATTTTTGCATACTGGTAAAATGCAACCACCAATGGTAGAAATGTTTGTTTAAGAGGATGTTTTGTTGATCCAAATGAACATTTATTTAATGTTAACTGTTGAACATATAATTTGCTGTTGTGATATGAAATAATATTAATGCAAAAAAAATCTAATTTATCTAAGATGAGAAGCAAACTTTTTTTTTCTGTTCATTTTCGAACTTGCATACATATATTTATTTCATATCTACCTGGCAATCAATGTACAGATTTTTGTTTTGACACTCATCATATAAAACTTAGAACAGTTACTATGCAGTCTAACATGTACAAAATATTCTAAGAACTTACAGACCCGCCAGAAAGTATCTACGCACCTGTCATTTGATCGTTTTCGTAACTAAAAATAACAATTCCGGGTAACATGATGTGTTGACTTTAAAATATACTAAATTTAAGAAGAACTAGTGCATTTTAGTCAAAATAAAATGGTTGATTTGTGTTTAGTTTTTTTGTATGTAGACGTTTTTTCAGTGAGCGAAAATCGCCATGGTTAACTCTATGGGAGCGCGCTCATTTGCATATCATTTGCATCTCATTAAAACTTCGCGCCATAAAACATGTGCGATAGTCGTGTCCTTTCTCATGCAAATTTGAACCAATTGGGAAGCTGAAATTATTTCAACACGCGCTTCTGGGCGGGAATACCTGTCAGTTGTAGTTCATGAATATTCCTATCGAGGTCATAGTGTCAGATACGTAATTTTTATTTACAAACATTGAGCCATGCCGAAAGTTAGGGAATTGTCAGAATTTACTAAAGGG